TATTAGAAAATCGAAAAAACTCAATTTTTTAAAAAAAGTAAAAAAGGGCTGTTTTAATTGATAACACCCCATATAGACCCCCTTTCGGAATATTTTGGAACTTTGCTCTCGACCTTTCTCGTAATAATAAAGGTTTAAAAAGTTCGAAAATTTAAATGCAGAAATGGGACCTGAAATAAGTATGCACTTAAAGAGGACAAGACAACTCCATTATAGGACCCCGCTATAAAAAAATTTTTGCAAATTAGGCTTTTTTATAACGGTAATTAAGTAGTAAATCAATTTTACGGACACCTTTAAGAAATTATCCGTTATTGAACCTTCCGGATTATTTCTGAGCTGACTTGCTCGTATTTCATGTCCGTCGATTTTCTATCCGGGATGTTCGGACCTGTGCTTGATTTTAATATTATTATCCTAATTGATGATATCACAAACTTTTTGGGTGGCGATTTTACCCGGGTCGTAGTCGTGCACGATCTATTTGTCACGTGATGTTCAGAACTTTTTGTGTGGCCAACGGCTATGATCGACAAAATCCGGCCCGTATTATAAATAATTTTGGGCGGAATTAATTTTTTTAATCTCAAAGAAAATTACTTCGCATCACCAGTGTTTTTCATCACCACATATAGTTTTAGGTAGGGAAAGTAGCACTGGCATGCCTAATACTCATACAGTCAATAGGGCATGCCACTTATATGTTTTTCCGGAATATTCCGGGTATACATATACATAGTTTATATATATTTGTTAAAAAAAGTCACGTGAAATTTTAATAATGGATTTCAGCACTATATATTTATATTTATATTTATGTTTAAAAATTTTAAAAATAAAAATTATAAACCTAATACATAAAAGAAATCCATTTTCCTCTATTTATATTAATTAATAATATGATAAAATTATTTATACACTATCTTAAACAATAAAAAGTTAAATGATTTATTTTATTATTTAGCCAGAAAAAAAAACGACTATAAAATTCTACTAGATTTATAAAATACCAAAAAATCAGGACCTTTGTTTCTACTTAATGGCTAAATTCATTTACAGTATAAAAAAAGATGCATCGAGCTATCTAAATAAGATAAAAAATTTTTGGCCAATAAAAAACCAAATAATTGTTAGTTTGATTAAACAAAACTAAAAATTCTTAAAATAAGCTATTTTAAAAAGGCTCTAAATCTAAATAATATAGGCCAAACTTAAATATAATTTTATTTTTTTTAAAAAAAAATAAAATTAACCCAACTTTTTTTTTTATTATTATTGCCAGAAAACTTCACAAACGCTACCTCTTTTTATGAGTTATTCCATTGCTCTGTGATGTAGATCCGAACATAGATCTTCTAGGCTTTTCCACAACCTGAAAAACTTCGTAATCTGAAACTGTCAATGAATATGAACTATCAGTTGTCTTCCACAAAATTGACCTATCTCCATTCGGGAATGATAATAAATCTTTAGTGCCAAAACAAGGACCATATCCGGGTTTTTTATGAATTGCAAATGAATTAAGCCTAGTAATTTCTGCTTTTTCTTCGTCAAAATTGAAAATAAAACTTTCCTTAGTGGTACGATCAAATTTCCAATCCAAAGGATTATATCCTCCATATAATCCACCGGTTTTAGCCATTTTGAAGACTACTACTGTTTTCTGAGTTCCTTCACATCGTTGGTAAAATATATCCGGTGAAAATCCCTCACGACTTCCGCGGAGCATTAATCTAAATTCATATGGTATTTCTGCTGGTCTATAAGGGGTTTCTTCTCGATGATCGATCCAACTTGAAATTAATGTAGCATGACAAATGTTAATAATTGTACCATTGAATTGAATAGAAATTGGTGAAGAAATCGTAGTTGATGAACCACATGCTTTTTTTAACTGCTGTTTAAGTGCATGTTCGAATTTATCCGCTGGTAAAAATGGTTCACAAGGAACTAAAAGATCGTGGAATTCATTCCAGTCTAAAGATAAAACACTTTTCCAAGGAATACATTGCGAGAGAGCAAACTTGAATTCGTCCCAATCTTTCTTGCCCCATCCTGCGACTTTGTTTCCTAGTCTCGGAATTTGAAGTTTTGCCCAGTTGACAATATAACCCCAAATAGCTTCATCTAATTTAATACACCCATATTGGTCAAGAGAACTTAATACCTCTGGATTAAAAATATCATCTCTATAAAATATACTCGAAGGGTCGGTTGAAATTTTGTTAATGTAATAATCTTGAAGAGTCTTGAAAGCCTCATTCCTGAAAATGTTCCGATGATAAGTAATGAAATTTTTATCCATCCATTCGGCTTGATATTCTATTATATGTTTTTGGATACATTCCAATATTTCTGCAATACCAAGTTCATCAGCTGCAAAGAGTAAATCAAGTGTTTGTTGCCCTTCACAATTCATAAAATCTACTTTTCCACTATAAAAATATCTAAAGATCAAAATATTCATCAGAATTCATTTATATACATATATCTCTATTTTTTTATCTTAAATAAAGAAATTTACCTAAGAATAACTTCAAAGGCTGCTTCGGATATATTATTCTTATTAACGATGATTTTGTCATACTCGGGTTTGGATTTGTCGCCCGCCAAAGTACTACGAAAATAAGTCGACCTAGCTCTCAATATGAGAGAATGTGCTTGAAATTCTTTAATTTTATTATCCTCGCCAATAACACGAATAATTACATCATAATATGCTGCACTTTCAAGAAGTTGGCAAAAATCACGAGAAAATTTCATTAATAAATGATATGACATTTTGTTAAGTATTAAGGAAGGAGTAAATATTCCAATGAGAAATTAATTTTTTCGTTTTGAATATGGATTGAATAAGGTTTTTTTTAAAGAGCAAAGGCCGGTAAGTCAAACCTAAAAAAAAAATTGTGCAATTGTAAATCGTCACTTATAAGTATTCCTGACCAAAAGATGCTCGTGTGACCATTGCATTAATACAAACAAGTATGCATATGTACGTACAAGCAACACGTACGCATATGCAGTTGATGTACAAAATTGCTCGTACGCTCTCATTAATTAGTATACTCGCTATGTGCCGGTACAGCTATATTCGGAGGTGATGATTGAATATTATGTGGTGTGGGTTCCCAATATATGGAGTGTGTAAAAAAAGGGGTGCATTGGCTTGGATACATATTGATATATATATTCATCGATAATATTTTTAGTTAATAATTCTTATCATTATGACTTGTAAATTATTTTCGTTTATTCTGCGTGAGATGTTCGAAAACGAATCCACATCTGACTATTGTTTTAAAATTCCAAGTAGTCATACACGTACGTACGTATATACGATTTCTAAAAACAAATAATTGGTAATTGAATGTTACCGTTGTTAAATGGCTTGGTAACATAAGTCCCTAACTACGTATGTCAATCCAATCTTCTGCAAATCACTAAATCTTGAGATCGACGTTATCCACGGATGCAAAAAGGTCCGTGTGCCATTCGAATTAAATTTAATCACCGTAGTATTGTTCTTAAATGTTGATTCTTTGATACCATTGTTAAATTTTACTGTGTAACAAATAGAACATGAATATATCATTTTTTTTGACAAAATTATAAGATTTTTAAATGCATTTGTGATATATTTAAAACATGTTGCTCTTCTTTCTACAGATCTATCGTAACGAAAAACTTTAGTTGTTCGTAATATGTATTATTCGATTACAGTATTTTGATAAATACTATTAAATTTTATTTAAATAATACAGTAAGCTAAGACAAATTATCAGCTATATGAATTTTATAGTTAAAAATATAGAATTTAAATTTAAAATTTTGGTTATATATATATATATATTTTTTTTAACTAGCCTCTTTGGCATGGGGGTTTTTATTCAAGTATTGCTGAGTAGGAGGTCCGTGGCCGAAGACCCCCTTTATATTAGAGAGTACAACTAGCTATACATGCAACTTTTGATTGCCTATTTAAGTAGTTTGCATATCAGTATTACACTGTAGGAATTACACTAGCTGTCATACCTATAACCTGACTAGGGGATTATCTATTTAAACCCTTTGTAATGCAACTCTACCTGTATCACCAGGACATCTTAAATATATAACCTTAGTAAAAGCCAAAATCAAAAAGTTATTATATTTATAATATAATTTTATTATAATTTATATATAACAAAATATTATTCAAATATCTGTTTGTTGTCAAATACAAGCCAAACTAGCTGAACATCCTAATATAATTTAATAAAACTATGAA